AGTAAAAGCTGAAGAGCAAAAGTAGAAACAGAAGAACCTGATAAATCTTAAATGAAACTAATTGTAAACAGACATCTGTATGCTAATGGATAGGATATGAGTAAGAAAGAAAGTGAACTTGAGCTTTCAGTACAATATGTCCCCTGAAAGGATTTCACTTGTTAAAAAAATAAACCCAAAGCAGCACAGAAGGTATGCATTAATATCATTTTTTATCAATAAGGCAGCCAACTTGTACAGAGATCTTGGAATTCAGGTGTGGGAATCACTCTGGAAAGGTTTCAAGTTTCATTTTTTGACAGTTGGATAATGGTCCTTTTCTGTACTTTGTAATCCCTTCCATTTTCTAAATTATCTATAATGAATGCATTGTATTATATTCACATACTTTAAAAACATGTAGCATAATTGCTAATTAAACAATCTAACAACTTATATTTGAATTGGCTAGTCCCTGTTCTGACTGAGTCAATAATTTATATAATAGGGATGATAAAGAGCTGTCTGTTTAGCTGTCTCTCTAAACCCAAAGAACTATGTTTGTCTTATAATTGTCACATTCATTCATTCAAAAGATATTTCATGAATGCTGGCTATATGCTAGGCTTTGGGGATACAGCAGTGAACAAGATAGATTTGGTCCTTGTTCTGACAGAGTTTATGGTCCAGTAGGAAAGATGAGAAACTAAGCAGATAACTATATACATAATTAATTAATTGCAGTTGTGATTAGTACCATGAAGGAAAGATACAAGGTCCTAAGCTTTGATAGGTCCCATAACTCTAACCTTTGTAATGCAAGCTCTGCTATCTAAGAATGAAAAGGATAAGTACTGGTTTACTTTATAAATAAGTACCAACAAATAGTATTTTATAATTAATCCTTTTATGTGGCCTGGACCTTTTCTGTTCTTGTAGATTCCCTGCAATCCCCCAAAGAAGAAAATTAACAAATGACAGCTGGTCTCGAGAATTCTACACATCCTATTCCTGAAAATATTTGTTACCCTAATTGGGATTTTAAATATTTTCAGTGTCTAAGATGTCTAACAATAGTCCACATGTTCCTCAACTGCATGGCACAGATCTGTTCTGTGCCCTGGCAGCTTGGCACAGCTTGGCACTCCTGTACTATAGTTCAGGGATCAGAAAACTTTTTCTGTAAAGGGCCAGATAGTAAATATTGTAGGCTTTGTGGGTTGTATGGTTTCTGCTGCAACTACTCAACTGTGCCTTTGTAACATGAAATTAGCCATAGACGATACATAAATGAATGCTCATAGCTGTCTTCCAGTAAAACTTTAAGGAAACGAGTGGTAACTATGTTTTATGGCTAACCCCTGCTGTAGTTCCTTGCCCTGTATTTGGATGTTGTATTAATCACACTTTAGTTGTAGACAACAGAATCTACTCTAGCTAGCTTAAGTCAAAAGATAGGTATAACAGGGTATTATAAGATGTACAATATTACTGGGAAAGTTGAAGAGCTGCACTCTAGGTTGAGTTCCTACAAACACCTCTCAAAGTCACATAGTAGACTTGGTCTACCGGACCTGGAACTTTTGCCACACTTGAAAGCCTCCTACCAAATTGGGAAGGGGCCAGCTCCTGAATCACACTCACTGTGTTAGGATCTTAACCAGCAAAATGGGTGTCTCGTGCTCTGCCTCCCTCCATATTTAACTCAGACATGTAAGTACATTATGGAACTTAAATTACATCTGGAACCCTAGCTTCAAGGAAGTCTGGGAAATACAGTTTTTAGTACAGGAAATACAAGAAGATACACTAAAAGGAGATTGGAGTAAGTTTCTGATGAGAAAATCCCCTGTGTCTGCTACAGAATACACCCTTGGCTACTTAACACCCATACCCCCCCTTCTTTTCCAAACCTAAACTTCCAGATAACAATAGTTACTAATATTAATATAATGGTGTGCTCTCTCCCAATATAATGCAACTGTTCCTCGTTTAAACAAAAGTGCACTCACCTTCTCTCCAAAAGGTGAAACCCAAAGTTCCATAGGTCACCTCATCATCTGTAGCGTTCATCACAGATGTTATCCTGTGACCTAGCACACTGAGGAGTTAAGTGGCCTCTTTCATTCCTGGGACAGCGGGAGAGAGAGAGAGAGAGAGCTTGCCCAATGAGCAAGAAGGTAAGAGCTTAATTCTAGGAAGCACCTACACATATTTTTTTACCCTTGTTGCTAAGCACCCCAAGTATTTCTTCTCTTAATGAAAAATTCTCCTGGCCCTATGTTCATTTGTGAGTGTTGGCCTCTCCTTTCCTTCTTAGCCAAACCATTCCTTTCTCCATGTCTTCACTTCCTGTCGACTCTGCAGCACACTGCAGTCTGGCTTTGGTGACTGCCACCATCCCTCCGCAACTGCTCCAATGAACTTTGAAGTGCTAAATGCAGTGGACATTGACTTCTTGGCAGCCCCGGGGGCTGACCCTGCCTGAAGCACTCTCCTCCCTTGGCTTCCAGATCCCATTCTGGGTCTGATTTTCCTGCTGCCCCTGTGACACTTTTCGCTCTCCATTATGGACCCCTTACCCTTCAGGCATTGGTTCTGTCTTTAGCTCTTTCTCCTCTGCTTTCTTTACCTATTCTTAACTATTTTGTCACTCATGTGAATTAAGCAAGCACCAAACTTTTATCCCCAATCCTAAGCGCCAGACCTACATGTCCAAGTGCCTAGTGGGCAGCTCCTCTTGTAGGTAGGTCATGGGCACCCCAAGCTCCATAGGTCCCACAGCAGACCAATTGTTCACCGCCACCCACTTCATTCCACTTATATTGTTTGCTCAGTGAATGGCTCAACCACCCACAAGTTATACAAGGCACAAGCTTGGGAGGCATCCCCAACTTCCCTCTCTGTCACTCCCCACTGCCTCCTACCTGTTTTGTCTCCACTATCCCTTCATCAGTTCAGGGCTCTGCTTTCTCACCTAGATTATTGCAACAGCCTCTTAACTGATTCTTCTCCCAGTTTAGGATCTTGTAGTCCTATAGCCTAGTCTCTTTACTATGACTATTTTAACCCAAAACAAGTCAGATCATATCACCCTCCTCCTTAACACCTACCAGGGACTGTCTGTCTGCCAACATGATCAAAGCCAAAGTCCTCAGCATAATATATTAGGTCCATTATGCTCTTTTAATCCTGTTTACCTTTCCATCCTTATCTCTTACTATCCCACCCCTTCTATCCCCTCCACACATGGACTTGACCCATGTAAATGTTTAGGGCAAAATGATCCTAACATACTGCACTTTGCCCTGTGGTACCTCAGTGTTTTGGCAAATGCTGCTCCCACTGCCTGGAAAACATCTACCTTTCTCCATCTTGCTAGTGGGAAGTGTTCCCTGCTGCAGGTGGCCCTCCTGACTGCTTTTGTGGCACCTGATATTTTGAATAAAGCACTAGCACAGTGAGTCCTAATTACCTAATTATCTTGGCTTCACATTTCTAAAACCTAGCAGGCCTTGGTACAGAGTAAGTTTCCAACAAAACTTATTTATTAATAACAATAAACATTATTTGAACAAGTGAAGAAATCTTGATTTTACATATATTTGCCACAAGATGGTGCTGTTCAGATAAGAAAGAAAAAGGCTCTCTAAGGCTGAAGGATTTAGGTATTAGATGCTGTAATCTTAAATGTGTTAAATTTTTAACATTGCTAGATTCATCAGTCATTTTTCATTCCTCATCCTACTAGACTAGTCATGAGCATTTGAAGTCAATGAAGCGTCCCTTTCTCTTAGCTGTGTTCTTCCTTAGCATCTGGGGTACCACACTCTTCTGGTTTTCCTCCAACCTTCCTGACCAGTCGTTTCCTGCCTCCATTGCTGGTCCATCCTGTTCTTGACCTCCATAATGTTGGAGTGCCCTAGGGCTCAGCCTTTGGACCACTTCCTTTTTCTATCTATACTCCCTTAAAAACCTTTAGGTTTCAGTTACACTCTATACAAAGATAAATGCCAAATAGACATCTCTTGGCTAGACCTATCCCCCAAACTCCAGATTCAATGCCTACTCAACATCAGCAGCAAAACCTCTCAGTTCTGTTTTCAAAATATATCCCAAAGCCAGCCACTTCTCACCCTGGTCCAAGCTATCATTTTTCTACTGGGTTTCTGCAACAGACTCCTCATTGGGGTTGCTGCTTCCACCCTTGAGTCCCTTCCTTCTCTTCTCAATGCAACAGCCAGGGTGATCCTATGACAACTAGTCAGATCATGTCGCCCCTCTGCTCAAAACCTTCTCCTGGCTTCTCTCCTTTATCTCCTATGCTACTAGTTGCTCTCAGGAGCCCCAGTGCGCCCCCTGCCGCCCCTTGTGCCTCAGACACCTCTGACACTCCAGTCTCTCAGGGCCTGTGTGCCTGGGATTCTCTGCCCAAGGGCTCTTCCTCCTGAGAGCTGCACGGATTACTCCCTCCCTTCATTGATATCTTTATTCAAATGTCTTTCCTTATTCCCTAACAAGCTTATTTAAAAACAAACAAAATTTTCATCCAGTAGTTCTTATTAACATTTTCTGCCTTATTTTTTCCAGAACACTTAATACCTCCTCATATACTATATAAGTGTGTATACATATATAATTATTATATACTATATAATATATATTATATATATATTATTTTCTGTTTTCTATCCCCCTCACCAGAGTTTAAGCTCCATGAGGGCAAGTATATTTTTCTGTTGTGTGTTCAGAAAAATACCTGAAGTTCTACTGAACTTCAGCTTCTAGAACTTTGTAGATGATCAATAAATATTGAATGAATGAATTCCGATGGTGCCTTTTTAGTACTATTTATCAACTAGATGCTTTTCTTTCACTCCTAAGAAAAATAGGCTACCTTTTTAGGGCCTTGCTTGTATTTTTTAGATCTAACCTCAGCATGTATTCAAATTATAAAACCTCACTCAGTGGAATTGATATATATGATGGAACAAAGTGTCAGTGCGAGAGCATCTAAATTTTGGAATTCAGGAGAACCACAGTATTGCACAGCTATGTAAGTAACATGGATTTTAGAAATAAAGGACAAATTATTCCTCAACAATGTCATACAAAAAATGAATGCCACAAATGAGAGAAGTGCCTTCTAAGCAATTCTAAAGGAATGCTATCTATTGCTATATATCAGTTTGGATATTAAAATAAATGGAATCATGAAATATGTACTCTTTTTTTTTGGTCTGGCTTCCTTTATACAACATAATTATTTTGAGACTCATCCATATCATTACATATATTAATTAGTTCATTCTTTTTTATTGCTAAGTAATATTCCATGATATGAATATACCGCAATTTTTTCTCCATTCACCTCTTTTTTTTTTTTTTTTTTTTTTTGAGACAGAGTCTCACTTTGTTGCCCAGGCTAGAATGAGTGCTGTGGTGTCAGCCTAGCTCACAGCAACCTCAAACTCCTGGGCTCAAGCAATCCTCCTGCCTCAGCCTCCTGAGTAGCTGGGACTACAGGTATGTGCCACCATGCCCGGCTAATTTTTTCTATATATATTAGTTGGCCAATTAATTTCTTTCTATTTATAGTAGAGACAGGGTCTCACTCTTGCTCAGGCTGGTTTTGAACTCCTGACCTTGAGCAATCCGCCCACCTCAGCCTCCCAGAGAGCTAGGATTACAGGCGTGAGCCACCATGCCCGGCTAATTTTTTCTATATATTTTTAGTTGGCCAATTAATTTCTTTCTATTTATAGTAGAGACAGGGTCTCACTCTTGCTCAGGCTGGTTTTGAACTCCTGACCTTGAGCAATCCGCCCACCTCAGCCTCCCAGAGAGCTAGGATTACAGGTGTGAGCCACCACGCCGGCCTCCATTCACCTCTTAATGGACATTTTTTTGGTCCTCTTTATTCTCTGTAAACTGGCAATTATATATAAATACTTGACTAGAGTCAGATTAACATTTTTGGCAAGAATACTCCATGTATTACACTGCATATATGTATCAAATTACATCAGGAGGCATAAATGTCTAGTTGTGCCAGCAGCACTTAGACTGATCATCTGAGTTAGGATGGTGAATCATTATATCTTGAATCTTTTTGTTACATTCATTGAATTTTCTATTTCAGGTGCGTCAGTTTCCATTACATTTGGTTACTTTTTATCGTCATAGCTATATCTTTTCCAAATTCCTTTATTTTTATTGTCTTTTTTTTCTTTCTATATTCTGGGATTTTTCTCAAGCCTTTCCATCATGTTTATTTGATTTGGCTTTGAGTCATATTTATTCCTTTCTTTGTTGTTTCTATTTTTTTCTAATAATGTTTGGAACCTTGATTTGTGTCCAGTCTCCTTTTTTATCTAATTCCGTTATCTTATCTCATCTTTGATATTTTTGTTTCATTGATTATATATTCTCTTTAGTGTCTCATAGGGGAATGTCAATCAAAGTGTTTGCCCATTATAATTTAAGAAGCATGCACCAGAACATAAACCATGCTACTTCCTTCACTGAGAGTGTCTTGCTATAAAAAAAAAAAAAAAAAAAAGTCAGCTGAACTAAATAGCATTCTTACTGATATAGTTGATTGACATCCTGGCACAATCTGCTTATCTTTTCACAGACTGGTAACAGTCCAGAGACTTGCAGTGTGTTCATGGACTATACATTGAGTATCACTATCTTAGAACATAAACATTTGTTATATAAATTTTTCTTTAGCTTCTTTGATATGTATTTAATAATAAAATAGTTGCTAACATTTATTTAAGCACTTACTATGTGCAAGGCACTAAGCCCTTTTGATCTTCATAAAAACCCTAACGGTAGGTACTATAATTTTTTACAGATGTTGAAATCAAAGTATAAACATATTGAGTAACTCATACAAAGTCACACAGTTGTTTATAGCAGGACTGGAATTTATACTCAGGTAGTCTGTTCCAGAGCACATAGTCTCAATGAAAATGGAATTTGCCTTTTGTATGCTATGACTCTTCTTATAATTCTTCTATATTTCCTATAATATTTTTGCATACTTGACATAGCACATTTGCCATGGTGTTCTTTTCACTCCTCTCCTATTTAATGTTGGGAATTCTGTTGGGGGTCCTCTTTTGCTTAGATATAAAGTACATAAATTCTGGACTCTCTTTCTTATCTCAGACCTATTGATCTTCCTTTCAGAACTTCAGTTCAAGGGCTTTATCATGGTTAGTTATGATTTTCCACATTTCTATTGCCTGAAGGGATGGATGTGATTAGCTCTGTTGGGCCTTGGTCAATAGTAATTGGCAGCTTTGGTCTTACCTGTTTTCTGGGGCAAGGAATGGAGTTGAGGTGTTATTCTATCAAGTTAAAACCAAAAATAAAATGGCTCAGCCCTACAGAGGACAATTTGACCAAGTCTATCACTATTGTCTTTTTTTCATAGAAATCCCATTTGGGGGAATTATTCTACAGATAAACTTGCATACATGTGCAATGACTTTTGTACAAAGTTATTCATTGCAGCATTGTTTGTAATAGTAGTGCACTGGAAACAACTTACATATCCAAGAACAGGTAATGATTATGATATATTGACATGCGGGAAGATTATGTAGTTGTAAATAAGAGGAAGTTCTCCATATGCTAATATGGAAAACTCTGAAGATATAATATTAAGAGGAAAAGCAATGTATATCAATGTTTATTTACTGCTGTTTGGCATATATATGGCATATGTGTGTGTATATATATATGAATGATGATACTTTTTTTGATAAAAGGGAAGCAAAGTAAGAATATATATTCATAAAGAAGCAGTGGAAGTATATAGGAGAAACTAATAAAATTGGTCACCAGTAGGAAGCCGTGGGGGTAAGTAACAGGATGGATGGGGATGAGGGTAGGAGTGAGACTTTTCAGTATAAACCTTCCAAAGTCATTATGTATTTCACCACTACATTTTATGGAAAAGGAAGGAAAGATGTACATACATACCCACTTTAATTCTGTGACAGCAAGTGATCTCATGTGCCTCCTTGGCTGCCACCCCACTGTCCTCCCATTTAGCTTTGGTGCAGGAGGTGAAACCTAAATGTTTTAGCCTGTGCTAACTGTCGCCATGGAGGAGGAGGACTTCACAGGAGGCTTTCTGGGACCTTTTATTCTTCTTGCCCAACCTTCCCGACATCCTCCTCCCATGGTCCATGCTTTTGTATCCTGTTTCTAGTGGAGCCCTGTTTCACTGGTGCAGTGCGAACTGCGCACACACAGCCTGAGCCAGTCCTGTTCCTCCGTGACCTTGCCTCCCAGCCCAGAGAAACCACAGTGACGATCCTGGCCATCTCCCCAGGTCTCGAATCACCGTGGTGCCGGCGAGAGCAGCACATGGCTTTTCACGCATTCCTTTTTCCCTCGGGACCCGCCTTTCCTTACTTCCTCTCCGTCACGCAATTAGGAGGCTACAGTGAAGTTTCCAGACCCGTTTCGCTACCTCCTTTCAGTGGGTTAAGGCTGCTTGGGAGTTGGAACAGCCACATCATAGATTCCTGAAGGCTTTTTGTTCTTTTTTCGATTGGTAT